AGGGCTTGGTCCCACTGCGACGACGCGAGACGCAATTCATTCGCAGAGTGAATCATGCAGAAAAAAGCATGGAAATAACCTACCAATCACGCATCCAAAGCGCAAGTTTCTTCAACGCAGGTGAGGATGTCGCTAAGCGCCCGGATGTATGCAGATCTTTCCTGCAGACATGACTGGCTGCTGGCGAGCCGCTGCTCGCTGGGATGCTCATCGCATCAAGAATTTCTTCATGCATCTGGAGAAGTAGGAAAAAGTGCTTTTTTTTTTGGTTATCTCTGCAGCATATACGGAGTACTCCATAGTTCGTACAAAATATCTATTGCGGCCCCATGCCACCGAAGATGAGCCGCTGTTCCACCGAGAGTACCTCAAGTATCTCTTCTCTTGATACGATACTCTCGGTCGGAGCCTTTTTCTGTCTTATCAGGACCTCATTGCGAGTAACAAACCTCCCCAGCTGTCCGAGCAGGTAAGCCACATCTTTTGTTTCTTCCGGCTGCATAAAATCCTCCTCTTTATTCAGGTACATGATGATAGCAACTCCATGGACGTGAGAAGTGAGGTTTGAAGCCCGTAGTGGCTCTACTAATGGTTGTCTTCTTTTCCATCCGGCAGGCTTGCTAGAGTCATAGTCAGCATCCATGTTGTACGTATACCAAAGGGAAGGGTAATGACCTACTTATCTTGGGGAGTGGGATAAAAGAAATATATAAAGTCGTCAAAAGCCCGAGAGAGGATGGGCAGGCAAGCACACCCCTCCGCTTTCTCCGTATCCTCTTCCCCCATATTGTAGGAGCCCTTTCTCTCTCTCTCTCTTTTACTCGGTTTTCTTTGCCCTAAGTGATAGGGCAGTACGTGGTAGGAAAGTGACGATGCAGGCTGGGTGCGATGCAGAACGAGGAAGGGCTCAGGCTAGGGTAATAAGGCATCTTGCATATTATATAGGCACCCGAACACCTAGGTAATGAGTCTATGACGATATAGCACTTGGAGCGTCGAGCTTTTGGTTGAAACCCAGAAGTTTGGATAGCCGCTTCCGCGGTTGAGGCTCAACGGATCTATGGGAAACAGTGGCCTTTGGACCATGGTTCCTGGATCCAAACATTTCGCCGGTTACTTTAAAAAGGTCGTGGTAACACTCTCGAGAGCCTGCACATCTTCCGCATTTACCCTCTTCCCTCGAACAATACCGTGGCCTTGCTCGCCTTCACTGCTTCCACCCGTCCGCTCCAGATGCAACTTGGCTCTGCTGTTGATATACTCTCTCCTCTCTCCCTTCTTCTGGTCCAGATCCATCTCGTTAACCGATTTGGGCAGTGTCTGCACCTTTGGGCGTAGCTGCACCAATACGGCTCGCAATGCGGGTAGCTGCGAGAGAATAAAGTTGGTAGTAGTTGTAAGTGGTGTGTGAGATGGACCGGCGCCTCCGTCACCCATCCGTAGCTTCTTTGCACGTGGATCAGATAGTAGAAACGAAAGGTTGGGGAACTGTACTTCTGCTTCGGAGGTAGATGGTACACCTGCATTCATGGAGCCAGACGACGTGCCGTGGGAGTTATGTTTTGTAGTTGCCACCATGGACCTGAGCTGGGACAGGACGGCATCATTCCGAGCACATTCCTGGGTCAACAAACGGTTTAGTTTCTTGGTCTCGCGCAGCTTCTGTCTCTGTAATGTCAGGGATTCTTCAGTCGGAGCATCCTCGCGACTTGGTTCAAGCGAAAGGCCCTAGAAAACCAGTAATAAGAAAAAAGACATCAGCCATCCTTCCTTCCTTATCACGTAGCTTTGATGGTCGGTAGCGGTTAGGGCTAACCTCATGGTGGCTCAAACGAATCCATCCAGTCAAGTCTTCAGGCACCGTTAAAACATTCCTGAGCACGTATATCTCAAATTTATCAAACGCCTTATCGACAGTCGCCTCCAGCAGCGTTTCTAGCTGGTGGAGGCCATTCTCGATCTCCAGCCTGGCTTCGGGGTACTGTATGTTCCCATCGTCGTCCGTGTCTGGGATGGTGCCAGGGCCATGTCTAAAGCCCAGTCGCTCAGGAGGGGTCGACTGGAGCCCGTCTTCCAGACTAGATATCGCCTGGTAGATGAGGTTGTTTACAGAATTTATAACATCGTCTATGAGGGACTGTTGAGATAGGTCAGCACAATTGTTGTCTACATGAGAGACAAACTAGACATACCAGCGGTGTGTAACTAAAATGCTCAGTGAGCAGAGACGTCGAGGCATCATTCATAGCGGTGAGTTGTTGGTATCTATCATTTATTCAGGCCACTATAGATCTAAACAACCTGCCTTTGGGAAGGCCGCGCGCGGGCGGCTCAAGGGCGGCGTCCGGGATAATAATTATCCGCTAAGCGCTTAAACGCGCCATCAATTCGACGGTTGCCTGCTCACTTCACTAAACGCCCAACAACGATGGAATAGCAGGATTCACGCTACAAACAGCCATGTCTTCGATGTCTGCGATGTCTCGGGAGGATCTCCTTCAGGAGTTGGAGAAGGAGAGGCGCCTTCGGCAGCAGGCCGAAGAAGAGAACGCAATAAAGGAAGAGGAGAACAATAAGCTGAGAAAACAAATAGAGCCAACAACTCTACCCGAATTCTTAGATGCCTGCCATGTTCATCTATTCGTTGGCTTTTCTACGCGTATCAATAACAAGACCGGAACCCAAGGAGGTCCTGAAAATGCAACATCCAAGTTACGGCCCAACTATATCCGGGAATGGACTACATTCCCTCAGGAGCAGTCGAAAGTATGGGAGATGCTCTTTGATGTTGAATTCGTTTCTGAACCCCATTTTTCATCCTTACATGCCTTGGAGGAGGCAGGCAAAGATATACGGTTAAGATTATTAGGGTCAGAGCTAGACCTTGGTTATTACGAGCGCTATACGGTTGAGGATCGTGTGGCATTAGTTATCCGGACTCTTTATGCAAATCGCAGACTACGCAATACATTCAACCTCAAGGGGGAAGTGATATTTGAAAACCACGGAAATACCATAAACGAACCAGGCAGCGCCAACCCAGCCTCGAATCCAGATGTCAAATCGCCACAGCAGTCTCCGGTGCAGAAGCGGCGGAAACAACTTGATCAATCTGCTGCGCCCACTGTGCAGTCTAGATCATCTCGCCCTCGCGCTGACCAGTTCTGTGTTTATAATACAGGCTCTGATGGAAATATACCAGCTTTTATCATCGAATATAAGGCCCCTCACAAGCTTACCCTAAATACTGTGAAGAATGGGTTAGGAGATATAGATATCGACGATGTGGTTATATACAGAGAGAATGATGACGCGAAGAGGCTCGCTCGACGCAGAGTAGCTGCGGTTATTACTCAGACGTTTTCTTACATGGTCCAGGCCAAGCTTGAATTCGGATATATTTGCACCGGGGAAGTATTTATATTTCTCCGTGTGGCACCCAGTGATCCTACGATCGTATACTATTATCTCTCTAGGCCAGCTAAAGATGTCGGAGAGACCACTGGCTGGGTTAGTGGTTCGGACGGCCATAATAAGCTGCACTTGACGGCAATAGGACAGGTTCTTGCCTTTACCCTCCGGGCCTTGAGATCCCCGCCACACAGCCAGACTTGGCCTGAGGATGTGGAGAAACAGTTGAAGCGGTGGGAGATTGAACATGATGATATTCTCTTCAAAGATACTGAGGAGGACAGCCCGCCGAGCAAGAGGCTTTCTGACTATGAACCAGAACAGAAAAGCAGGCTTGAATATGTCCGAATGTCACCAGTCAGAACAAGATCAAAACGTTTGGCGGCAGCCTCCTCATGCCGTGACCCTGAGGAGGGGCAAGAAAACTCAGAGTCTGGCGATAACGATGATAGCAGTGAAAACGGCGGGTTTGACCCTGCTAGCCCAACCCCAAGACCCCCACGCCCTTCCTCAAACATCATGGTTGTTATACCTCCTCGTCCTCCTTCTTCTTCAACTGAGAGAAAGCAATATATGTACAATACAGGACCATTCAATCCGTGGTGCACCCAGAAATGCCTTCTTGGCCTACGAATCCGGGGCCCTCTTGATCCTAATTGCCCAAACATAGCTAGTCATGGTGGTGGCAGTCGACACGCTATTAACGACAGTGAATTCCGCGAGCTAGTCCGCGAGCAAATTGTAGGAGGGAGGGGCCCCTGGGGCTGTGAATCTATGCACCGTCATGGAACCTCTGGTGCATTATTCTGGCTTGTGACCTTCCCGTATGGATATACTCTTGTTGCAAAAGCAATGCCCATTGAGACAGTTAAGCGTGCTGTTTATGAAGAGAAGATATACCAACATTTGCATATGATTCAAGGAACTTATATACCTGTTTGCTTGGGGAGTATCGATATATCAAGACGGCCATTATGGTACGATGGTATATTCCAAGTTGTTCATCTCCTACTCCTTAGCCATGTAGGGAAACTTGTCAAACTACACGCAGGTCTTAACAAAGTGAAAGACCTTATACCCTCTGCGTGTGAGTCGCTGCATGCAATCCACATGCACCGTACCCTACACTGTGATACGCATATTGGTAACATGTTCTGGAACACAGAAAATAAACGGGTGATGATTATCGATTTCGAGCGGGCCAAAATTACAAGTGTTAACATGCCGACAAAAAAGAGAGAGCGAGGGACAGATCCCAATCCTACTAAGAAGGACATTGAATTTAAAAGGGAGATACTGGTAGCAAAGAGTAATATGTCATTTAGATAATAAGCGTTCACGCTACAATTTTAAAAAGCAAGATGTTTCGGCGTATTGGAAAGATTGGGAAGACAGTTCGGGTGTATGAGGCAAGTTCTCGCCGTGTTATTGAGAGCGGGATTTCTAATTTATATCTGTGCAGAAGACCTTTGTTTTTATGATATATCATGTAGCTTATCGAAGACATTTCGCTATGTATTGAAAGGAGGATCAAAAAAAGTAGGCTCTATATACAAACACTCCATGACCTAACTCCAATCTAGATTAACGCCACCGTCTGATCCCATTCCATGCCCTCGACCCTTAAATGCCGTTCCCAAAACCCTCGTCAGAAATCAAGCATTAACTGCGGATAGGCTCTCTCCAAATCCTCGGTCTAAGGATAGCTAGTTGTCAGCCGAAAGTTATAGAAGTGGGCCGCAGATATAACATATTCAAAGCAAGGGGGGAAGAAGAGGTTGTTCTACCTCCAAATAATTATTATTTTTAGCTTCCGTCCTTATGTCAGACGTCTCTATCCCAGCTGTGTTAATGGCGCGTTTCTCTTCAATTGAACGGCCCACGGCCTCGCTGGCAAAGCTTTCAATGTATTTTGCAAAAAGCTTGACTGCATCTTTTGTTATCCGGGTCTTCTTCTTTTTAAAGGCAATTTCGTGTAAGATGGTGGTAACGAGCTTATAATCAACTTGTGGATCAGCGGATATATTGTCAGCCGTGCGGTTCTTCCGACTGTCGACAGTAGTTATCTCAGCGAGTATGTATTCAGGTTCTGTGGATGAGGCTCTTTCTTCCGATAGAGGTGTCCCCTCGTCTCTGTCCTGCAAAGTTGATGAGCTGGTCCGCGGTGTCTGCTCCGTCTTCTTCTGTCTTTTCGAAACTCCGGCTGAAGCAGACTTATTTTGGTTGTTTTCACCAGTTGACGGTCTCTTCAATGATTGCTTTCGACTTGCTTGTTTTGCCTTCTCTGCAGTGTCTGGAGCAGCTTTCTGTGGGCGAGCAACTTTCTTGCCCTTCTTCTCGGCGGGAACCATCGCTCAAATTCGTAGACTTCGAAATAATCTCATCTAACACGTTTTATAACTCCATCTTTTGTTGCTTCGCTTTTCTTTTTGCTCTTCATTATTTTGCTTCTTTTTCGTTTCGCGACAACCTTGGAAAACGCGTGATCACGTGAAATAAACGGTATAATGTTATTCCGATACGAATATCCTAATCGGGAAATGACTCGAACTCCAGGAGTATTTTCGTTTTCTTCACGATCAAGAGAAAAGAAAAGAAATCGATATACCAAGGAGAATAATTGGAAAAAGGACTTCTTTTCTGGAGGGAAGCACGATATCGAGATAATCTATGGAGAGAATAACCGAAATTGAGGGGGACCTTTTCCTTGCTCCAGAGGGAGCTGCCCTAATCCGTACATTTTTCCTCTATCCAGTATCTCCCCCTATAATGCCTCTAATATACTGACTTGTCTCTTTAATAGATGCGTGCAACTGTCAAGGATCCTGGGGGAAAGGCATTGCACTTGAGTTCAAAAACAAAGTACGTTCCATGGATCTATATATACACAGTTCAGGGCGCCCAGTATAGAACACATAACTGAGGTTCTATTATTTCTCATTGCCATTCACTTAGTACCCTGCAGCCTATAAGATATATCGTTCTTATTGCCTGGACCTCCTTGCGAATCCTCAGACGGGTCTCTATCCATCTAATGATACCCTGACCGCGGCTAGAGGTGATAATAAAAACGATATAAGACAGCGAGTAACTAAGCTTCCTGAAGGAACAGCACTCGTAATACCGCCTCAATTAGCCGATTATGACCCGCGGAACCCTCACGCGGTCTCTGTCGGAAAAGGTATCGGGAATAGTCAAAACCGGGGACGAGGGGGACGACGAGGGGGACGACGAGGCCACGGCCTCAGTCGTGGTAGGGGCAGAGGGAATGGAACACCAGACTCCTCATACCCTAATTCGGCAGGTAAACGGCACTGGATAATCTGTCTCTTTACAGCTTGGCACTATGCGGCCGGCAAGCGTAGCTCCACCGACGAGATCCTTGAGAATACCGTTGCTGCAATAGCCGATCTCAAACGTCAGATCAATAAAGGTATAGCAGACCCTAACGCGAATAAAGAAAGCGCACTTCTTAAAGATACGGAGTTCTGGTCCTGTCGTATTAACGCTGGCTTGTTCGGCGTTGACTGGGAGCAATCTAAGGGTATTTTGGTAGATTCCATGTTGAATATCAAAGTTGTCTCTCCGCCCTAGAATAGCCCCGGAAGCATGTCAGACATCCACCACGTGGATAGCTTGGGAAGGATAAAAAAGGAGAAACCATACATAACCTATATGATTGATGAGAAACGAGAAATGAGGAACGATAGAGTGGACAATTTTTCAAAAAATAAAAACACAAAACATGTCCCCTATATTTATGGCATAGAAAGGGGGGAAAGAACCTAGTACTCGGTATAAATATGACCTTCGTCTTGCAGTTCTATAACACCCTGATTAGCTCGATAGTTTAATACATAATTCCATCTACCCCCGCCATACAGAAGCTGCAAATGAAGGAAGAGCCTTAAAATAAGTCAAGCTCTTTCACTCCCAACTCTTCAATGTTGTTTCCCCGATTTTACTTTGACTTCGTTTCGTGATCAGAGCCCATCCCTTCTACCGACCCCGTGTGTTCGCCTTTACTCGAGCTACGCGGAGCCCGTGAATCCAAGGTGGATTTGGACTTGAACCTTCTCAAAAACCCGGAAGAAGCTGACATAATCGATCGGCGATGTGAAGTGCTCGTTTTGCGGGATATAATCTTAGAATAGTTCTCTCCATTTGATGCCTCTTCCATCGCCCTGATTTTTTGGCCATATGTTATCCCGTCAATACCCAAATTGTCTTCAGCCATGGGTTGAAGTTTGACCATGCCACGGCCTGGTGGGATACCAAGCTCTTCGAGAATTTGTCGCTGAATGTTGGTCGTATATCGGTAATTACATAGTGGGGTCAGCGCCGCAGCAAGGGCTGTCACGGTAATAAGGTAGGCTGGTTGACCGTCAGGCTCACCCATGACAATTTTAACCCCGTCGTCAATAGACATCATGATGGGTTGATTATTGAATATTCCCATTAAATTCTCTCTTAATCTGAATATGGTCCCGTAGGGGTCATCAATCTGAAGACAAAAACGGGTCAATTATTGAACTTTCATAATGCTTCAATGACAGTGGTAAGCAATGCTGCTGGGGATGGGGAAGAGGACTAATGATACCGTCTTGTTTGTTCTGATCTCGATGATGACCATGGAGGCTTGCTCGACCTGGTCCCTCAAACTCCCATATTGACTACTGAATGCCGACCCAGTGCGGCAGTCTTGCACCTGATGAAGTCGAATAGCCTCCCTTATCTCCCGCTCTGTTTGAATGAAATCTGCCCGGTTCGAATCGCAACTCCGACTGTCCACGGTACCACCACAGCCCAGCTCCCTCGCAATCAGATCATTCTTTGATGCCTCCGAAGCCTCTGAGAGCTAGTTTTATAGCGGAGTCAACACTTCTGACATAGATGCCCGCCAGAAGACCACTGCAACTTACAATGGCAGGAGACCTGCGCGAAGGCCTGCCTTCTGATATCCTTGCATCCGCCCGGGGAGAGGGATCTCTCTCACGACCTTCCATGGTGAGAGCTGGTAAGTGCAGCGTTCAAAATAGAGAGTGAGTGGTATAGGAGGATGGTGTGGATTCCTAGACTAGAAGCTGAACCGCATGAGCGTAAGCAAGTCGTGAAGTTACTGTTTGTTGGCTTGGTGAAGAAGAAGAAAAAGGGGCCTATCTGCGGTTGTTGTTGATATCGACTAAAAGGGAAACTCCTCACCCGCCACTTCAACTTTTTCTCCCTCGAGCACGACCATGGCATTTTATCCAGGCTGCTACGACAGAGACATCTGATGAGGGATGGGAACGGGTATCAAGGTCACCTTGTGAAGTGTTCTTTTTCCTACGACAGCTGGCCCAGGTCACCAGTGGCGGTAGTGGTGGTATTATGAGCCAGCAAGACCCTGCATCCACCCGCCTCATCGAGCAAATGGCCACCAAAAGGCCACAGGAATTCCTCCTGGAAACAGGGACAACGGGATGATCAGGAACAATATAGATCCCCTTCACTTCTATTCCATTTTCGATGTTCGGTGCACCATCTCGCTAACAACACATGCGGTATCAACAGGTTCGCTAGTTACGCAGGCGGGTTTAACATGTCACAAAGCGATGCTCTTTTTCTTCGAACCGCAGCTTGTTCAATAGTTGCAACCCCTGACGAGTCCACGGGAGAGATCCAGCATCTGTCCGCTTCATTCACAAGTGGGAGATATTTCTGATAGCTCGATAATAACTAGTTGCCGGGGTCCCGGCAGGTCCAGGACACCCTTTTGCCCGATAATGGGTTTTTATTCATAGCCCAGGAGCCGGTTTCGATTATTAACAAGCAGTTATATGGTTGGCAGAGTTGGTTGTTCTACATCTTTACTTTTATGGGGTTCAGTAGCCGCCATCGTTATATAATTCATGACATAATGCTCAAAATTACTATCTACATACCGTCTAACTGCATATAGTATTCCACTCTGGTGTTTGTTCCTCAACGCCGACATGCATCTATAGATAGTACCCTGAAAATATGGTGGTAACATAATTGGTGAATCAGAGGCCATCAACAAGCATACTCAGCCACTCACTAGGGAACTCGGAGTGATAGTCAATTTTCGACTTTCACTGGCATCATCGACAGATCCAAGGGTATCGGTTCCATTGCCATTGCTCTCATCTTCAATCTCAGTGACCACTTGAGCAGGAATGGGATAAGTTCCCTCGGCAGGTATGTCCTTCTTCTTTAATTGTAAGGAGCCTATTTGCAACGCTTCTTCCGGGAGTGGACGAATAAACGGTTGGCAAACCCACCAGGGCCGTTGGTATTTCTCCATCGTCGCTTTAGACTCTTCTGACTTAACTACGCCTGGTTTAGAAGCAGGAGTAATATGTTGCCAGCTCGGGTTCTGTTCATATTCCTGCATTCCCTGCTTGACAGCTTGGTCAACGAGTCGGACAACTTTCTCAAACTGAGGCATGTCTCCTCCGTGACACCGGGCAAGCGCATCTCGTATATCTGTTCGGTGTGAGATGAGATGTCGAAGTAGTTGGAATAGATGGCCTTGCATTGTGGTCAGATTGGTAGAGGTGGCTTTCTTCATACGCCTCCCTTGCTTTTGTTTCTTTCTTGGTGGCTGCTGGGCTTCATCCTCGGCTGCCTCATCCGCCCGGCTGCTAGATTCTAGCGCTGGGTCGTCAGGATGATAGAGCGGTTCCCTCTGCGGTGGCTCCTGCTCAAGCACGTATTTGTAAATGAGGTCAATGTATTGTCGAAGCACATAGTCAAGTCTGTACCCTCCTCTCCCATCTCTTCCGCGCCAATAGATCCGCCCCTCACTCCCTGGAGGCGGAGGAGTAGAGAAAATAGTTGGATCTGAGAGATTTCCTTCTGCACTCATCACTCCATCGGCACCAGTCGACTCCAAGCAATCTCTAATATCTCCATGGTTCAAAATATTTCCATTAGCAAAAATCACTGTCTCGGGAGGCAGGTTATCCCTCAGGTAACGAATATACTCCCAATTAGCCACACCGGTATTATGTCCCTTCTGCTCTCTCCTCCGCCCATGCACGGAAAGAATGCTCGCCCCTGCTGAGAGAATCATCTTAGCATACTCGAGCGTCTTCTCCTTGGTTTCGAGAATACGGAACTTTGCCGTCACGGGAATCGATAGTTCGGCATGTAATTTGTTTATAAGCTTATATATAAGGTCGGGATCCTCCTGTAGGAATGCGCCGTAATGCCCCTTTTTCGCGATTCCTGTGGGCACCCAAGGTTCAAATCTACCGCATCACAATAGCCTTCAACGTGGCGCGCAGCTCTAAGGAGCTCGTCCGGGTTATTTGCGCAGAACTGAACGATAAGCGGCCTGTCGTATTTTGGGTTTCCGTCAAGGTATGGCTCAGTGGCCGTGACCGCGGCGTCGGATGAAGCTCTATCATCTGCTGCAACCTCATCATTTTCAATGTTCTTTCTATCATCATGATGCTGCTGCGACATCCATTCCTGGGATTCCTGGGAAAATGAATCGTCCATATCATCTTGACCAAAAATCATATCCAATCCAAAAGAGTCAATTTGCTTCTCATCAACTTCAACATTGCCATTATTGGCATCTGTGCTGATTTGAGACTGGGTCCCGTCTGCCTGTGAGCCTAACAGGTTCTGCGGATATAGCTCCTGGACACTTTCTAGAGCGGTTTTTACCAATTCTTGAAACTCGGGACGGTGGATGAAATCGTCTGGTGTCGGTGATTTACCACTTGTCCTTCGCTCTTCTGTCACAATAGCCTCCACCTGTTCACGGAACTCTTGTTCGTGTATCCAGCTATCTGGAAACATTTGCTGCGGATTAGAAGACATCGGAACTAGGTCTTGGAAT